GGCTTTGATGGTGCAAGTTAGTAGTTTATTTATGAACACAAACAAAACCGAGTAACTAATCTAACATAATCTAGGTAAACTTCCTCAAAAAATAAAATAATAACCAAATACTCTAACGAAACAACTAACATACAGTACTACCGTTAAACTAGGTAGGCGTGGTTCACTTGGCTGGTGTCGTCTGCCATCCACCAAGCAACGCGGCCCACCAATACCACCCACTCATGTCGCCTCTATTATTTTCACTAAAGGTCAAACACTCAAATAACAACAAGAGAGAACTTTTAAAACATGAAAATTAATACAATATTCATAGAAATTTTCAGTCAAATATTTCCATTAACTCCGAGTCCCTTTAAAAAAAATGTGGCTCCTTCCCGCCAGCCAGATGTTCAAAGCTCCCCCAGTAGGCCTATAACACGAACAGCGTTACGTCACCGGGGTTATTGATTTTGTTTAAGAATCGCATTGCGTGATATTCCCTGCTGTTCGTAATCTTACAGCAAAAAATAAAAAAGAGCTTATAATGTGAATTTGTTCAATTGTACACCGATAACAATCATATTACGATGTTTTTTTATCTTCATAGGTAAAGCATATTTAGTAGCTAAAGGCTCTCTTACGAACATAACAAACAGAATGAAAGAAAGAGCGAAACAAGACAAGGGGAATAGATGAGAAAGATTAAAAAAAAACAAGGACAAACACTGGAACAGACGAGGAACACAAAAATTTGGCGCGAAACAGACACGATGGCGCCAGGGGAAAAAGGAGGAGAGGAGAGAGAGAGAGAGAGAGAGAGAGAGAGAGAGAGAGAGAGAGAGAGAGAGCATCTGACGGGCAAGATGGGCGTAACTCCCACGGTGATGGAGGAGTATTAGGGACGTATGAGACAGTGGGTGTGGCTATGGGACGCCACAACAGTGTCAGCTGATAGCACAAAACCCATACACTGCCTCCCATTCACCATTACGGACCAGGCAAAAATGAATGGGGTGGTGGAGGGTCTTTGAGTGTCCTGGTTTAGGGGGTCTTGAGTGTCCTGGTTTAGGGTCCTGAGTGTCCTGGTTTAGGGAGGGTCTTGCGTGTCCTGGTTTAAGGGGTCTAAGTGTCCTGGTTTAAGGGGTCTTGAGTGTCTGGTTTAGGGGTCCGAGTGTCCTGGTTTAGGGGAGGGTTGCGTGTCCTGGTTTAGGGGTCTTAAGTGTCCTGGTTTAAGGGGTCTTGAGTGTCCTGGTTTAAGGGGTTGAGTGTCCTGGTTTAGGGGTCCTGAGTGTCCTGGTTTAGGGGAGGGTCTGCGTGTCCTGGTTTAAGGGGTCTTAAGTGTCCTGGTTTAAGGGGTCTGAGGTCCTGGTTTAAGGGGGTCTTGAGTGTCCTGGTTTAAGGGGGTCTTGAGTGTCCTGGTTTAAAGTGAGGAAAAGGAACCGAGATGATAGCTTAGTATATTTACACTGATGACGGCGCTTATTAAGAACGGTAGCTGATAGGTGCACACAAGTACTGTATACATATAGATACGCACACACAAAGGTACACGCACACACATTCACATACTGTTTACCGCACTCAATCCACCCCCAACCCCAACTTAAAAACATACAAGCACCCAATTCACACACACACACACACACACACAACCACCACCCAAACGTACAGACTAAAATATATACACACACACACAGATACACATATACACACGAATACATCCAGGTGCATAAAAAATTACCCTTTACAATAAATAATATATGAGAGAGAGAGAGGGGAAATCAATACATCTCTCTCACACTCGCTCTCATTCACCACCCAATTCTAACCAGCAGGTGGTCACGTGTCCTGTCTCTCTCACTCTCCCAATCTGCCTCTCCTCCCACCCACTCTTTCTCTCGACCCACTCTTACTCTCTTCCTGCCTCTTCCCATCAACTCTCACTCCTTGCTCAACCGTCCTACCCACCCTCACTTTCCTTCTCACCAACTCTTCCTCTCACTTCCAGCTATACTCTCACCCACTCTTGCTTTCCATCCAATTACTCGTCCACTCTTTCTGTCTCTCCCTCCCTCCCTCCCACATTCTCCCTCCCTCTACCTTCATCTTCCTACCATAACCATCTATTTAATTGGTGTGTTCCATTATGGTGTTCCGTCATACCAAACAGCTTCACACAGCTTTACATAGAACACAGTTTTACATACAACACAGCATCACACAACACAGCATCACACAGCTTTACACATCACACAGCGCCTCCCTGGGTGTCTCACTGCCAGCTCCGTCCACAATCTAGCACCATCTGGGCAGCTCCTCAGCCACTATCATCCATCCTCCTCTCTTTCCAAGTTTCTTTTCACTGTATATCTAAACATCTTTTTAATGATCTCCTTCTCTTCCTCTCCTTCACCTCCTCCTTCTCCTTGGCAGCCTCTCCTCCATTCGTTGGACCTGTGCTGCCCACCTCCACCCACTACCAGCTGGCCCCTCAACACAACACTTCCTGAGCCTGCACGCACACCGCTGCTTCCTGCACGTCCATCCCTCTCTCTCTCTCTCATCTACTACGTCCACTAACTCTACCTAATATTTTTTTCACTACCACTAACAGGGCAATAGGTCTGACTGGGGCAGGCAGGGGAGGCAGTAACCATGGGTGGAGCAGGCAGGGGAGGCAGCAGTCATGACTGAGGCAGGCAGGGGAGGCAGTAGCCATGGCTGGAGCAGGCAGGGGAGGCAGTAACCATGGCTGGGACAAGCAGCGCCTCTATCATTCACTCACCTCCCGCGCCACACATCTCACATAAAAGGTTCACAGGTGGCCGCCCACTCAATGTTGCAGGTGTGGGTGAGCGTCCAACACAACCTGTGACCTCTGTGTCCTCATCTACCCTCACACTACTCCTTCACACCTAACCTTTCAATATTCATAAAACTCTCACTCACCCCCTTTAATAGAGAACACGTTGATGTAAAAATCCCATAAGAATTTTATCTTTGTTAATAACTTTGAAATTCTGGAAAATAAATTAATCATCAATAGTTATCATATACTGAGTGTCTGGTAGTGTAGGCCACCACCTTGATCACTGTAAGAGGTAAAGAAAACGACACAATTCTCCAAATGAAGTTTACGTAAAGGATATATCCCTATAATAACACTAACCCCTTGATAACTTGACCCCCTGAGTACGACATATTAACCGCTTGAGCAAAATAATTTAATCCCTTGAGTACGAAATATTAACCCCCTGAGTACAATAAACTAACCCCTGACTACGTTCTCAGGGGGTTAAGTCATCGTACTCAAGGGTTTAAATTATCGTACTCGGGGGTTGATGTCGTATTCGAGGGGTTAAGTCATCGTACTCATGAGGTTAATAACAGAATAATTCTTGAACTTAGAGACTAAAATTATGTACGTACTACATACTAATACTATGAACATTGACACTCCTTATTAAGACATGTGGCGAAACTAGGTGGAAATAAACCAATACAAACCAGTAAGTTGTAGTCTGGAGGAATGAGGCTTGTTGACGTAAGCTTCCCTAAGCATCTATGACAAAATAATATGTATGATATTTTGTGTTGACGTCCAGTGAGTGTACGTAACGTGACAAAGGCGACGCGGACGGCAAAGTGAGTAGGCTTTTCCTCCTCCAACAATAAAAATAATAACTGCCTTCCACACTGTAAGTCTTCACTATGCTTTACTGTTTATATGTCCTATTATTATTATTATTATTATTATAAAATTTAATACCATCGCACAATTAACTTTAGTACCATATATTGTGCCCATGTTGGTATATTTCATGATATATATTTCAGGTTTGGTCACACAATACCAGAACAATATACATCCTCATTCTAAATTTTTTTTCTTATATTCACATCTCATGTATACAAGTTATGATCATTATAATGGTGCGTGTTTATTTTTATGGGAAGTAGTAAAATATAGCGATCTCTCTCCCGTATCGATTATTGTTCTTATCTTTCTTTTCTTCCTTATCTGTAATTCGTATCTCAAAGTAAACAAGAAGATTTATTTTATCTAAAGTATTAAAAATGACATCCAATAATAATCCGCCGCCTCACTCCGCTGGGTGTAGCTGTATGTATCAAGAGTCAACGCCCGAGTGAGTGACGGTTAACACTCCTCTGCGCGTAAGATGTAAACAAACTGTGTTATTGAAGGAAGAAATTGTGAGATATATATACTGTGAGTGAGAATGATGGTGGTGATGACATTCATGACAGCTGGTGGTGGTGATGGTGCAAGACAAGTATCTCTGAGGTGATTTTGTCCGAACCTTTTTGACAGTTCCATTTATAACCAGACACTTTATAATTGCTCTTTCGTCACTTACGAAATAATTTATCAGCTACTCGTTTAATCACAATAAAATTTATTTAATGTGGAAAGTTTGAGGCTGGCTAAAAAAAATTATGACAAGACCTCAGTATATGATGATAATGAAACTAGCAAACTCCATCTCATTAAAAAGTTACCAACACTCAATTACTGAGCTATGTTGATGCTCTTTTGTTTACAAGTTTACATCATCCAGCAATTTCATTATTTCTCAGGCAGTTTTTAACACTAATGATATATAGTGATTCTTGTAATATGAGACACTCTTAAACTGTATTCTGTATTTATATTATTACTTACTGCAGTTTCTGTAATATCGTGTCATATGTTATAGGTCTTTTAATCTGTAACTTTTGTAATGTCTACTGTATTATTGTACACGATTAATTTACACGCATTATAACCTTTATAATGAAAACAACTGGCCATATTTTTTTCTATAATGAGAAGAGTTGCTCACACATTCTGTACATTTTCTAATACACAAATATTATTACCACAATTAGTACACAGACCAGAATTACTTACAGTTTTAACTATGATAATAACTTACCTCTTCCTTAGTGAAAAAAAGATTGTTAAATGCATATTGAAGCGCGCACACACACACACACACACACACACAAAAGGATACATAGATGCGGTCGTGTAGGTATCTGACGCGCAGGTTGTGGTTGATGGAGTTCTCGTCGATGTCGGACAATATCGTCATGTCCGGTACCCCATCCTCCGCCCGGCTCCCTGCAACAAGTTAAAATACAATTAGGAATTTATTTATTGGTTTTATTGGTTTTGTTTTTTGTGGGGGGATGACCTGAAGAATCTCCAACCCAGTTTATATCACCAAAAGATTAAGCCACCCTAACCTAACCTAATCTTATCTCCTCAAATAATGTTAGGTTAGGGGGTGACTTAACCTTGTGAAATAAGCTGGGGTGGAGATTCTTCAGTTGATCCAGAATATATTTGTTGTTTGTTTTTCTTTTTGCACAATAAATTTTTACACACACAAAATAAAAGTCCGAAAATAAAAAAAAAATCGTAAAAAATATAAAATAAAGGATGGAAAAGAGCGAGTGAGGAAGATTTTTTAAACCAGAATCTTCCGACATTTTACAGGTGAGTGCCACGTTAATGTCTCCCTCATCTCACAGTAACAGAAGGTTAAGTGTGTGCGTCAGTGAGTCACAATGATTCATGGTGTGGTGTGTCCATGGTGTAGTGTCAATGGTATGGTGTGTCCTTGGCGTGGTGTGCCAATGGTGCGGTGTGCCAATGGTGTGGTGTGCCAATAGTGCGATGTATCCATGGTGTGGTGTGCCAATGGTGTGATGTATCAATAGTGCGTGCCAATGGTGGTGTATCAATAGTGCGATGTGTCCATGGTGTGGTGTGCCAATGGTGTGGTGTGCCAATGGTGTGGTGTGCCAATGGTGTGGTGTATCAATGATGTGGTGTGTCAATGGTGTGGTGTGTTAATGTGTGGTGTCAATGGTGTGGTGTGCCAATGGTGTGGTGTGCCAATGGTGGGTGCCAATAGTGCTATGTGTCCATGGTGTGGTGTGTCCAGTATCATCCACAGGAATGATCGCACGGGAGGAAATGTCATAAAGCCACATCATAAATTTCGTAATGTAAGATGGCGGGTGACTGGACAAACTCAGCGACCATCACTAAGTATAACTTGATGTGAAGGTGTTGACAAGATTGAGGGCATCACCTGAAGATTAACCACCCTAATACTAACCTAACCTAACACTAACCTCAACTCATATAACCTCACCTAACCACACGCTAACCTAACCTAACCAAACCAAACATAACCTAACCTAACACTAACCTAACCTAATGCTAAACAAACCTAACACTATTCACTAACATAACCTAACCTGACAGAACCAAACCTAGCATAACCTCATCTAACCAAACGCTAACCTAACACTAACCTAATCCTAACCAAACTTAACCTAATCTCATCCCCTCAACTAGTGTTAGGGTCGTTAATCTTTAGGTAAAATAAGCTAAAGGGGAGGGGAGAGGGAGAATTTTCAGGTGACCCAATTGCTTCACCAAACTCGAGTCTATGATGATGAAAATATAACACATTTAGACACCCCCTCTCCTTCCTGTCTCACACTCAAATAATTAATAACAAATACAAAATAAATAAATAATAATGGTCCATTTACACATATACATGCTTGATAATAATCTTTTTACTAACACTAGGAAAGTAAGTTGATATTTTATTGTTTGCTTATGTAAAGTCACCACAAGATATCGTTGTTGTTGTAAAGTCATCATCACAAGATATCGTTGGTGTGTAAAGTCATGACGAATCGTTGGTGTGTTGTCATCATAACAAGATATCGTTGGTGTGTAAAGTCACCACAAGATATCGTTGGTGTGTGTCATCATCACAAGATATCGTTGGTGTGTAAAGTCACCACAAGATATCGTTGGTGTGTAAAGTCATCATCACAAGATATCGTTGGTGTGTAAGTCATCATCACAAGATATCGTTGGTGTAAAGTCACCACAAGATATCGTTGTTGTTGTAAAGTCATCATCACAAGATATCGTTGGTGTGTAAAGTCACCACAAGATATCGTTGGTGTGTAAAGTTACCACAAGATATCGTTGGAGTGTAAAGTCACCACAAGATATCGTTGGAGTGTAAAGTCACCACAAGATATCGTTGGTGTGTAAAGTCACCACAAGATATCGTTGGTGTGTAAAGTCACCACAAGATATCGTTGGTGTGTAAAGTTGCCACAAGATATCGTTGGAGTGTAAAGTCACCACAAGATATCGTTGGAGTGTAAAGTCACCACAAGATATCGTTGGTGTGTAAAGTCACTACAAGATATCGTTGGTGTGTAAAGTCACCACAAGATATCGTTGGTGTGTAAAGTCACCACAAGATATCGTTGTTGTTGTAAAGTCATCATCACAAGATATCGTTGGTGTGTAAAGTCACCACAAGATATCGTTGGTGTGTAAAGTCACCACAAGATATCGTTGTTGTAAAGTCATCATCACAAGATATCGTTGGTGTGTAAAGTCACCACAAGATATCATTGGTGTGTAAAGTCACCACAAGATATTGTTGGTGTGTAAAGTCACCACAAGATATCGTTGGTGTGTAAAGTCACCACAAGTAGGTATTAGGCAGCTATCAAACAGGAAGGTACTATCGCCTGGGAAGATATTGGAAGCATAATGTGTTGTCTAATGGTAGACCCTGCTGCCATATGGCATCACGAAAATTGTGACCAAGTCCCAGGTTACTGATCTGACTTTCTGCCTCATTTACACTGACAACACAACATACATATATTGTTTCTCACTATTGATAATGTTTTCATTTTTGTATTTCTTTATGTTTATTTATGGTTCTTTATTATTATTATTATTATTATTATTATTATTATTATTATTATATAAATAGTATTTACTATGAATTATTATTATCATTATTATTATCATTATTATTGCGTTTTCACCCCCTTGGCCACGATGTGGGTCACTGGGTCAGTGACCTGTGCTCGGGTGGGCTAATCCCCCCCACACACTCATCATTCTGTCACTTTATGTAACTTGCTGACAAAACCTATGACCCTTCAGGCTTTTACGCCCTTAATGCATGAGTCATAAAGGCAAGCATGAACTTAGCATGCTTCCCAGATGGGCGCTGTAAACGCTTCTGTGCTTCATCTTGCACAGGATGTAAGGGGGTGCCCAATAAACTAGCCCCCTCCCGGGCAAACTAAAAATCTAATCTAAATAATATATATATATATATATATATATATATATATATATATATATATATATATATATATATATATATATATATATATACACACATATCGTAAGGAGACAATGTTAACGCCAGTAAAACACCCGATCAATAATGTTATATGAGTAAACGCGAACACAGACCCGCCGTAAGAAGAGAAACAGACAACAACACAACACCAGTCAGTCCAGTAGCCAGGTGAGAGTGTGTACAGGAAGAGAGGAAACCTAAGAGTGAATTCCTGGTAGAGTTGGAGGAAGAGAATACCAAGAGGGTGAGTCAGTGCCCGCCAGGTTCCAGGAGTTACTTACCCCCCCCCCTACCCACTACCATCACTGCCGCTGCCTCCTCCACTCCACCACCTTACTACTACTACAGTACTACCACTGCCACCCCCCACCAACCACTACTACTGCCGCCGCCTCCACCACTTTTTTTACTACCACTACTACTGCTGCCTCCTCCTCCTCTTCTACCAACACACACCTCCTGCACCCGACCACCACCTACTACTGCCAAGGTCACACACACACACACCATAAAGAAAGCTTCAACATGCGCTCTAAACACCAATTGTAAAACTGATAGACGGTGCAGAACCAACCAACCTCAAACACACACACACACACACACGATGATGAGTTACGACCCAATCAGCACAGATCAACCCAAACGTTAGCAACCAATCATAGAGAGAGTTGAGTCGACGAGGAAGCTGCTGACCAATAAAAACCGTGAAAGTTAAACCAGTGAAAATCTCTCTATACGATGAGGAGAAACAAGGTATTAATGAAACACCCAGTGACTTTTGGAGCTAATTTTTCCCCTTTCTTTATGTATTTATAGATTTATCAATTATCTATGTACCTTTGTAAAGTAACTCTAATCTATTTCTGGGTAAAAACAAAGAGACGATAGAAGAGTGATGTAAAATAAGTAGAGACTAAATATAAAACAAAGATTAATACAATGAGAAGAAATACACTGCTATACATCCCCTCAGTTCCTCTGCTGTATGGCACGTCCTGTCTACAAAGAACCACGTCAGTGTTTGTGTGTTAGTCAGAGCCACTAGACCGGTCAGCTAGCTATTTAAGGTATCGTGTGAACAGATCGAATATTGTTGTTTCCTATCCACAAAAATGTTTTCACTCTGATTATTCTTATCACTCCTTCACACACAACACAAGATAAACAGGATGAAGAGAAACGAGATTATCCTTCAGTCCATCATGGTTATTACATCGCCAGGTATATTACTTCACTAATCAGGTGTGTACGTACAGGTGTGTGTGGGCTGTATATATCAGAAAGGTTAATTGTGATTTTGTCAGCCTGTAAATCATGGTAATCATAGCATTTTATTCCTGGTTAATTTATATGATTTTGTCAATTGTATCGTGGTAATGGATTAAGTAGCTTCAGACACACACACTATCACCTGTACCTCTACTCGGCCAACGCCAACACCTATTTACTATTGCTATAAAACTGCTACAGGTAAGTGCTATCATAGTCACACCTGTATATAATTACTATCGGTCAATAAACTCTAATATAATGAGCAGTAATATAACGTATAGGGTGTCTGGTTTCTTACTGTCATGTGGATATTTATGTTAAATCAATTCCACACATGACTTAAGATTGAGAAAAATTTAAATATATACCACAAAATTTTACACTCACATCGACCGTTAACTATAGGTAAATTATCTTATTATTAAACCAAAAATTTTTTTTTATATCTTTCATAACATTCCTGGGGGGATCGGTGGTAGATGCGGTACCGTTCTTGCCTCGCAAGCGAGATGTCACGGGTTCGATTCCCGGGCCGGTGGAAGTTGTTTGGACTTACTTCCTAGCCCCCATTAGTCCCTGTTCACCTAGCAGTAAAGTAGGTACCTGTTGTATATCGAAAATTGCGAATTCGTATTCA